ATAATTAAAAATTTCATGAGAACTGAAATTTTAATATTAATAACCATCAAAAAGGAAATGAATGAATGAAGGATTTTATTTTATTTTATACAGTATAGTTCAAATCAAAGAGACGGAAATGCCGTACTTCAACAATGATTTCATTGAAATCTAAATTTTTTTTTTTAAAACGTTAAAATTAATGTAAGCTTATAAAAAAAAATATGAAAATTAAAAAGTTTACATCACTTTGAATTAAAAATAAATATAGAAACGAGCAGCCTTATCATTTTTTAATAATAAAACGGAAGCTAACAAAGGATTATGCAAACAAAAATAAGTGTTGTAACTTCTCTCTAGTTTTTTGAGTAAATGAAAAGTCATTGAATAATAGAAATCAATATGATAACAATAACACTAAAAAAGGAAGTCTCACAAAGTTATAGCATTTTATTGTAATAAGTGAGCCTGACTGACTTGATATACAAAGGAGATCAGACGCGTTCTTCTTTGGTTTCTTTTTAAAAATCTTTAACCATAGTATATGTCAAGTTATACTACAACTAACTGCAATTAGTAACAAATTTTCTGAAAAATTCTATAATCCCTCTTTTTAAAAACGAGCCATTTATTTTTTTTTAAAAAAAAAAATAATTATATTAAAAAGAGGTCTGAAAAAGTAAAATTTATGTATTAGCATTATTTCATCTATAAAAATTAGAGATTCTCAATGTTACTAAAATTGGCAAAACAAAACAGTGATCCTTGGCATGAGTTGTTTATTAGTATTACAACTGAAGTAAAAATCGTTCAATTCATTATCAAGCAAAGTTGGGTTATTAGGATTGGAGGAGTCAATTCGTTATTTGAGGGGATAATGTTGTTGTATTGAATATTTTCATTGATGTTAAAGACGTAGAAACCTTGTGTTAGTTCTTGTTTGATCTGGTCATGTATCAAATTTAGAGTTTTGAATCAGATCTTTTTTTTTGAGTGTAGAATTTGATTTATAAAAAAAAAAATTTTAAAAATTTGTATTGTCTTTTTTTTGTACACACAGTAAAAAAGCTTTTTAGGTGATTTATGTAATACCGTTAATAATACAGTATTAAGTATGATTCGTATAGCAAAATCAATATTATCATATAAGTGCGAATGCAGGAAACTTATAACGTTTCATGATAATCAGTCACTAATTTGAATCTAATAGATCATGTTACGTAAACGTCTGCGCCATATTGTTTTTCAAATTTTATTTAATTGTTACTTTTAGCGATAAATTTTACACAATAAAAATAAAAGAAAAAGAAAAATAATAGATGTCATAAGCCGCTCTTTTTTTTAAAAAAAAAAAATAAATAAAATTTAATAAAGTCTAAGGACCAAGACAAAGAAATTTTCTTTTATGGTTATTACATTTATAAATTTAGTATAATAAATAGAAATTTGTAACAAAGATAGATTAAAATATAAAGTTCATACAAAATTTTTTTCATATGACAGATTTGAACAATAAAAATTGAAATAATATGAACATATTATCCAGATTAATTATGTGAATACATGAGAATAATTCAAGGGGTAACAAAGATAAGATCATATGAAAAAATATAACTGTACAATCCTTAAATGAAATCAGACTGGTTAAATTTACTTAAATTAAAAAGGGAAATGACGAAAAAATTCATACGGGATGATAATTACCAAAATAATTCACCACAATAAGGTAAATGGAACTTTGATAGTTATTTAAGTCTAGCATAAAAGATAACGGTAAATTCTAAATAAATGTATTCTCATATTTAGGAATCAGTTCAATGATTCTGAACAATACATATGCAATTAATACATTCATGTTTTGGCTAAAATGGTCTTTTTAAAACTTTTTGACTTTGTCCCATTTGATTTAACAACATAATAGTGACCTAAAAGGTCACATCACCTATTTATTGAACTTTAAAAATACTGGCGAAGCGAATGAAATGTGAAATAACAATGTGATAATATGATAATATGGTAACGTGAATTGGTGATAATCTCATCCAATAAACTTATAAACATGTGATCAGAAAGAAGTTGATCTGCAAATTTCATAAATTTTGTAATGCATTCATAAATCAATTTTACTGCTAACTTCAAATATCTTCCATTATGACTAAATATGAAAAGAACAAAATTATATATATTGTATGAACTATAAGTATATTACGTTGTATTATATTCTGATATGCAAATTCTCGATTATCTGTTAGAACCAAATAGAAAGATTTTTCAAATTCTTACCTATCAACTTCAACAAAGCTCATTGATACATCATTAGCAAATTAAATATTGGATTATTGCAAAGTCAGGTGGACAGAACAGGTATTTAATGATATCAAGATTCATTTATGTTCTGAAAGATGTATCTTGTAATGTTATAAACCTTTGGTAACTTTGAACGGGTTACATCTGTGTGTCAAGAACGTTTTAGTGAATATTTATTTAAAATTTCAAAATAACATAAATTTATTTTAAAATTAGAAGAGGGGATAACAGCGTTTTATACAATAAGTATTTATATCTTTATGCATGTTCAGATAATTTAACGATATTAATTTCAAAGAATTATTCGCGGATGTACAATCTGGTATGTGAAGTTCCAGTGCTCTGTCATGGAATACATCACTAATTTTATTTATTTGGACTTGGAGAACAATTTTTGGTTAATAAAGTTGCCACTTGTTCTTTATGCGCCAATTGCGAACGATTGGGCAAAGTATAACGAAACTGATAATCAAAAGGTAACGTTTAATATTATTAATAATCTTTATTTTATTATATAAAAATAAAATTATTGATTTCTTCAAGGTATTAATTTTTAGATTTATTTCTCAGTCGGAATGAAAGGCCAAATTATGAACATCAATATATATTATTATTTAATCTATAAAGTTGATACTTTGAGTTTATGAAGATTTTGTTAATAATGATTATTAATATTAGATTTTTGAATTATCGTCTCTATTACATATATTTGAATTTGAATAAAGACTTTATCTTGAAAATTACTACGACTAGTTAGATCATATATTCCAGTATATGATACTGCTAAAGCTTACTCACTTCCCTCATTGTACAAAAAAATTAGAAATATTTAATGAAAATCTGTTTACTGAACCCAAATTCAAAATTATCTCGAAAAATACTTTATTTTGTTACTGACGCGTAGCTTGATAACAGGTCAGCAAAATGTAACTTACCTATAAATGTTCTCTAAAATGCATGAATAATAGCATCATCCAAACAAGAAAATCATCATCAATCCAAAATATCGATCATTTTGTGGTTCGAAATAAATTGTGGAACACTACTATTACAAGATCAGTATTGATTCAAAAAGCTCCTAATCGCTGCATCACGTGTTGTCATTAAACACCTATTCGTGTATTTTTATCTTCCCATTCATTATTCAAAAGGAATTATGCGTTTGCGTAATTCAATACTTTATTCGTATCATCAACATCAGCTTCATTATTCATTGCTTCAAATTTCTCTATTGCAACTTCTTGCTTCCAAAATTACATCGTGACCATTAAAACTTATTGTAGGTATAACAATTAATTCAACAATTAATTCACTCCAAGATTCCAATCATCTTTTGATTAAAATGTCTTTTTAAATGACAACACATGAACTTTCATCAAAATCTCCTAGAAATATTTTAATTATTATTAGGAATTTTTTAATTCATATTAACAGCGATTATTAAATATCATTACATCATTCGTATATTAGAACTTCATCTTGGTTAAATTAACAAAAGAACTCAGACGGTAGCGATTTGTACGCAGGTCCTAAATACAAATAATTAATAGGATTACAAATCGCCTCTCAGAAATTAAAATACAAGAAATATTTGCATAAATTGCAAGCTGATGAAATTACCAGATACTGATTTATTACCGGAAGTATCCTAATAAATAAGATTAATTTGACTTAAAACAAAATATAATTATATGAAATGATTATTTAAATTATTATACCTACTTTAACTTATTCCTATATGCTTTCCCCATTACTATGTAAAATGCTGGTATGAACTGTTATCTTTCAGCTTAATAAGACGGGAAGATTTTCAGATGCTTGTATTGGGCGTATATCAATGATAGGCAGTTCGTTCAAGAGAATGAACTTGACGCAACCTAAATCGTTTCTTTTAAGGCTATACAACTTTAATAAATTAACTACGATGTTGTTCAGGCAGTTAAAATCACAACATCGTATTTATCATCAATGACACCAAGGTTACCCAAACGATCCTAATTAAAAAATTAAAACAAATAAGATTTTCAGCAAAACAAATTTTAGAACGCTCCACTCTGATGAACTCACATATAATCCTTTTATATGACCACTATCTTTAAGTTTATCAAGCTACTAAGAACTTGTCCTCTAGACTGAGAAGAATTTAAAGTCTTTTCACCTCATCTTCTCTTTGTCGAGAATCGGCAAGACTAGACTTGGAAAATTCTTGCTGATTAAGGTAATACTAAAAATAATAAAGATATTTATAAGAATCTTAAAATACCTAATATATTAATTTAAATGTTAAATAATAACCTTTAAATCAGTGTCCAATTGTTGAATTGATTCTTTTATATGAGATTTTTGTTCCTTAAGAAGCAGTTCAATTATAATTAAATCATCACAAAAAAGCAATGATACCTTATAACAATACCTTCTTTCGACATGATTCTCTAATCATGACAGCATCTTCTGTTTGTTTAAGATCTTGTTTTATTGAATCAAATTTCTTATAAACAGATTGGTTTACATCAATAAGTGATTGCCTTGCATTAATTTTCTCTAACCAAGGTGCAAGCTCTCTTTAATTTTCTTCAATTTGTTTTGAATAAACTTCTGACTTGCCTTTATTTAAATTTAAATTCAATTATAATATAAAAAAATATTTATCAAATTAGATTAAAATAATTGATTCACATATTCTTTAAACTTTCCCTGATTATTTCAAGTTCCCTTTCATGGTCCTCTAAAGATATTTCCAAGCTAACCATTTCTTCCATTCGATCATTAAAATCCTGTTCATTAAATCGTAATGCTATATTCGCTTCCAAAAGTCCATGACGATCCTATAATAAAAATCTTATTATATTTCTTGAATATATTTGTGCATCAAAGTAACATAAACAAATAAAACCTATTGTAGAAATTGCCATTGTTACTTTCTTTTGTTTAGAAATTGGCGTGTTTCTTCCTTAATATTTTCTTTCTCATAATTTGCCAATTCTTCTATAATTTCATTAGTTTTTTTTTTCTAGTTGCTTATTAAAATAATACAATAATTAAATTAATGAAAGTTTTATTTATTTGTAAATTATTATAATTATTTTATTTTACCTGGAAGGCATTAACATAATCTCTAAATTAACTTCAAGAACTTTGTTATTTTGTTTTATCTGAACATGCTTTTTCTTAGTTGATCTTTTAATTTATTCTAAGAATTAATAAATAATTAATTGCCATATTAAATTAACTTGTCTGAATAAGTTATTAAATCTAATGACTTACCACAGCTTTAGTTGATATTTCAGTATTAATCTTTCATTCTAGAAATTTTTTTTTTTGATAAAGGGTAGACTGTTTCAAAGTTAATGTGTTTTCATCTCGAAAAATCTTTTTTTCTTGGCTTTCAATTCAATAAGGGTCAAATTATTATTGTTATTTAATGTGATTACAATCATGATTTTACTAATAATATGTTACCTATAAGCTTTGTTTTCCTCTTCAACTATTTTAACGTGATTTAATTTCTTCATCCAATATTTCAACTGCTTCTTCAAGAGGACTTTATATTAGAAGTTCTAATAATATCTTCAAGTGTCCATCTTTATGCTTGGGTTTCATCTGCGATATTAGTTCAACTTCTCCTAAATATTAATTTTGATATGTCAATACATTAATCATTACCTCATGATGAAAAACAAAAATAAACCTGCAAAATTAAAAATCGTTTATGATTCAAATCGATCCCCTTCTTTCAAAGACTTGTAACTTCAGTGTAATTGCTTTGTCATCCATTTATGAAATGCTTGCATTATTGCGAAAAGTTTGACGAGAGATAACCAATTGAGATAGAAACTCATATTTATCTGAACCAGGTTATAATATTATTAATTATTATTATTTTAAGTGAATTTTCTTAGAAATTAAAACTTTATTATTTGTTTTTTACCAAGTCAAGAATTCTTCAAAATATACATCAAAAATTCCAAGAATATTAAATTATAAAAACATTTAATTAGTCCAGAATGAAGTGAAGGACTATATATGTACAGGTTTAAGGTTACACGTATCCCTGATTGGAAAAAAATTTAAAATATATAGTTAAAACAAAAATTTAGATTACCACAATTCATATGATATTGTTTTGTTTGTTTCCAGCATAGTTTTACATTAGTCATAACCGTAACAAAAAAAAATAAACACCACTGCACAAACAAGTTATTATGATGATTCACGTAATAATTGAAAGCAAAACCTGAAATTAATCATGCGCCATTACGTTATAAAAACAAAAAGCCTAAAATCAGAAAAATTAATTTACTTTGAGGCTGAAATATTATTAAGGCTTCCTTTTTCCTTTCCTTTTTTTTTTAATCAAATCAAGTAAAAAAAAAATATTTTTATAAAAGATTCAAATGACACTCAAAACAAATTTTTTATATTTTCTTTAATCACAAATTAATGTTTTCATTAAAAGATTCAAATGATACTTAAAAAAAATATTTATATTTTTTAATCACAAATCAAAAAATAATATTATTAACAGTTTCATTTAACCTTCATAAGCAAATTTTTTATTTTTCTTAATTATAAATTCCAAAGAAAAAAAGAAATAATATCTTCATAATACTAATGTTAAAGTATCTTTGATATCAAGCTTTGGTATAAATTCTTTGGATAAGAATTCAAAATATATATTTTATCAAGGAATTCTTTCTTTCATTTTTTATTTTTTAATAAATAGTATCTTTAAAATCTGATCTGAATATTATTTCTGACTTGTAGTATTTGCAATCTTATCTGATTTAATAATAATACCAGCATTTATTACCATTATCTTAAATATTTTTTTCTTAAAAATCCATTAACTAAAATTTCTCATACAGAAATTTCTCAGATTTTTTTAAATATAATATATTATATTAGTTAATTTCATGTAGTATATATAAATATTTGATAGAAATTCAAAATTTACATAAAATGAATATATTATCTTTAAGGATAATTATAATAAATTAATTAAATAAACTAACTATATTTAATAATACTATTCACTTGTTCAATTGATAATTTTAATAATTTTATTCAAGACCTCTAACTCATATTATAAATTGAAAAAGTATTTTCTAAATTTTAATTTGTCTTTTATCACGATTATCTAGTAAATAATTAATGTAAATATATTAATACAAATTTTAGCATTTAGAGTTCTAATTAAATTTGCTACTCTAAAATTTAAATAAAAATAATATGATAGTACAATTTAAAAATTTAAATCAAATTTAACAAATATATATGATATAAATGCATAAATATATATATTATAATATCACCATATTTTGTAAAGATATATTGATATTATAAATTCAAAAATTAATCTTATTACTTTAATTATTTAATAAATCTTTTTTTAGAAAAACCATTTTTTTATTGGTTCATTTCTTTTTTTTATTATTTCAATTAAATTTTTATTAAAATCAAAATTAAACAATATGTATAAGTAAATTTGAAAAGATTAAGTTTAAATATTATAAATTTAACTATTCAAATAGCTCTAATAATTGAATTATAATGTAATTTAGCAGTATTAATAAAGGTATACTATTTTATATTAATAGCATTTTACTAAAAAGAAATAAATAATAAAACAAATTTATTAATAATTAAGAAAAACTAATAAATTATTTGCAATTTATTACCATTTGATAATACTATAACTTAAAATTTAAATATTTAATTATTTGTTAATAAATTTATACTTTTTGTAATTATCAATTAGTTTCTACTTCATAATAGAATTTACAAAGTATGATAATTAGGGATGGATCGGTCCTGATAAGACTGGTCTTAGACCGGTTAATAGGACCAGTTCTTGTGGTCCTCGGTCTATATTTTAAGAACTGGTCTGGACTGGTCTTTTATTATTTATACATATTATTTTAATTTTTATAAATACTAAATAGATTGTTTTATTTATAAAATATTACAAAATTAGAGTTGGATCGACTCAGTTTTCACCTCTCTTATGGAGCGGTCTAGTCTATAAGTCAATCCTTGGACTGTCATAATAGTTTACTGTAATGATAATGTCTGAAATGAAAATATCAGAATAACGAGATTAAGAAGGCGCAGGAATCGTTTCGTATGCAATTATTTTATTATAATTTTTTATTTAATTTATACAATTATTTTATTAATTGATCATTTATATTTTTCTAGTATGTTCTAAACCGATCCTTAAACCAGTCTTATAAATCAGTCAGGTTCGAGAAAAAAATAAATCTTGGACCGGACTAGACTGGTAGGACCGAATGGTACAAGACCAGTCCTAGGACTGACTTATGGATCGGTCTGGTCCAAAGAAAGATGAAAGACCGGTCTTTTTGGACCAGATCAGACTGGACTGGACCGATCCAATCCTAATAATAATTCACTTTCTTTTATAAAAATAAAATAGCTGACAAGAGTTTATTCTTTATATTTATTTCTATGAATTATTTATCTAAATTCTTGAATTTTTTTTTAATTATTAACTCTTATAACTAGATTTATTTTTAAAAAAGTGAAAATGAATTTTTAAAATTATAAACTATGTGAATTTTATAAATAAAAATTTATTATACCATTTGCTTTTATCTATAATGCTAAACTAATTCTTCTTTATAACATTTATTTAAAAAGCTAATTTTTTTAAACTTAATATATCTCCTATATTGATCTATGATTTTCTCATAAAATTAATCTTATTAATCTTAAGTTTTAACTAATTAACATAGGAGTTAGAAGGAATAATGAAAAAACTCAAAACTTTATATCATTTCATACATATTTATAATTTAATATTATATGTGTTTCATTTTTATCACATTAAAAAAAATTTTATTTTTTAAATAGTCTAAAATTACTTAAATTATTAAAAATTTTTTTATAGCTGAAAAAACCTAATAATAATATTAGATGTATTATCTATCAGATCAATACCAAATAGTTAAAATTACAGATTTACTAACTAAAAGTCAATCATCACACAGACTTAAATATACAGTATATAGGACAACATATAAAAGAATAAAAAAAAAAATTTCATAAAATCTCTCAAAAAATTTCACACAATACTCCCAAAATTCTTTTTCAAAAATAAAATGTATCTTTGACTAAAAAGATATATAAAAATATATATATATCTTATCTATTTACTAACAATTCTAAAAAACATACACAAGAAAGTATGCAGATGATGATTTGCATAATTATTTGCAAAAAGCCTTTCTTATTAAAAGGGAGGCTATTATCAGATTATAATAACAACAAATATTCATTGCCAAATGAATATTGAATTAACAGTAGGTTGCAGTTACTCAGATTTATGTGAAAAAGTAACTATACTGCACCACTACATAAAAAGTTGAAAGCTGAAGCTAAAGTGATTGACGTTGCTTAAGTTATTAATAATGCATAAAATGGTTTTGAACTTGCTTATATTTAATTTCACATACTTGAGGGAATAGATAAAATTTATTATTAAAATATTAAAATGTTATATGTTTCAATATTACCTCTATAATCAGCATTACCATTAATAATACAATGTATAAAATTTTTCTAATACTTCAATTTACGAATGTAGTTAAAGTTTATTTTACATTAGTTTAAAATTATATATAATTAGGGTTTATTTTACATTTAAATAAAATTTATTTAGTAAATTTGTTGTTCATGACAATTGACTAGCTATTATATAAACTCTATAATTGATTAATACAAATTAATTTGATTAGCCAATTCACTATAATAAGAGTATTTTTATTATATTTATTCAAATAATTCATTATATCAAGTGTTTACTATATCTAAAGATGACATTGCAATATTGTAACATTTATTTATCATCTGTTGCAACTTAAATTTTAATAATGTTGCAATTTGTTACAAC